CTCGACTCCAGAAACAAACGTCCACAGATCAGAACGACTCAGTGACACCGACACCGCAGAGATTTAATCATGAATAAAAACACTGAAATCTGAATAAAAATAAATTCTGCTTTAAAAAACATCATGTAGACTGGAAAAAAAACAAATGTGTGCAAGTTTAAAAGACTTAAATTAAAAACGTTTGACTTTATTTGAGTCAATTCAACTTGAGGAGAGAAAAGATCGACCAGTGGAATAAATGTTTTTATGATTTAATTATTAATTCAATTTTGCTTCATATTTTAAGAGCACAGTTGTTGTTTTTCTTATTTTCAGTGCAGTAAAATGCATTTTTATGTTTAAGTACAAAAACTCTTATTCCATTTGCAGATTATTTTACTCGTCAAGTGAAATTTACTCAAATCCTGATCAAACTTTCATAATTTAAATCATTTTAACTTGATTAGATTTTGTTTTTGTGGTGTAAATTCTACTGAAAATTATTTGGAATTAAACTTAATTCTAGTGTTGTGATCTAGACTGAACTAATCCAGACCAAGACCAGTCCAAGACCACATGGTCCCGAGACCAGAACAAGACCGAGAAAAGACCGAGACTTTTAAAGATCAAGATCAAGACAAAACTGAGACCTCGGCCCATCCAGACCAAATCCAGACCAAATCCAGACCAAATCCAGACCAAATCCAGACCAAATCCAGACCAAATCCAGACCAAATCCAGACCAAATCCAGACTAAATCCAGACCAAATCCAGACCAAATCCAGACTAAATCCAGACCAAATCCAGACCAAATCCATCCAGACTAAATCCAGACCAAATCCAGACTAAATCCAGACCAAATCCAGACCATCTTTGTCATTTTCTACATTTATTTTACAGATATTTTGGCACAAATATATCAATGTTTTTATAAATTTATCAATATTTTATCACTTGTTGAGTTTCCGTCCAAGTCCGAGACAAGACCAAGACCAAGACCAAGACCAAGACCAAGACCATAAAAAAACAGTCTCCAGTTTTACGGCGCTAGTGAAGAGTTCTGGTCCTGATCCTGGTCCTGGTCCTGGTCCTGGACCTGGTCCTGGTCCAGTCGTGTCTCGGGACTTTGATCCACGTCGGGATGTGGGAGGGGCTGAGCTTTTGTCTTCTTCCTCCTTCTCCTCCTCAACTGGTTTAGTCCTGTTTCAGTCCTGGTTTTAGTCCTGGTTTAGTCCTGGTTTAGACCTGTTTTTAGTCCTGGTTTAGTCCTGGTTTTAGTCCTGGTTTAGTCCTGGTTTAGTCCTGGAGAACAGGTCTGAGTGAAACAGTTTAAAGTCTCAGACGTTTAATGGATCCGACTTTTATAAAACCTCCGTTTAAAATATCACATTTCACAAAAGTCCAGGACCAAGAACTGAACCAGGACTAAACCAGGACCAGGACTGGACCAGGACTAAACCAGGACTGGACCAGGACTAAACCAGGTCTAAACCAGGTCTAAACCAGGACTAAACTCGATATACTGTCACTTCTAAACCTGGTCTGGGTCTGATCTAAACCTGGTCCATCCCGGGTCTAGAGTCGGTCTAGAGTCGGTCTAAATCTGGTCTAAATCTGGTCTGAAGTGGGTCTGTGCTGTGTTCACTGAATCGTGTTAAACTTAATGTTCAGGGGCGTTTCTCATCAACACTGACCTGCTTCTGTCTGACCCTCCCCCAGAACTAAACCAGGACTAAACCTGGACTAAACCAGGACTAAACCTGGACTAAACCAGGACTAAACCAGGACTAAACCAGGACTAAACCAGGACTAAAAACAGGTCTAAACCAGGACTAAACCAGGACTAAACCAGGACTAAACCAGGACTAAACCAGGACTAAACCAGGTCTAAACCAGGACTAAACCAGGACTAAACCAGGTCTAAACCAGGACTAAACCAGAACTAAACCAGGACTAAACTAAAATTAAAACTAGTTCTTGTTCAGTCCTGATTTAGTCCCAGTTTAGACCCGGTTTAGTCCTGGTTTAGTCCTTGTTCAGTCCTTGGTCTGGTCCTGGTCTAGTCCTGGTTGAGTTCTCGGTCTGGTCCTCGTCTGGTCCTGGTTGAGTTCTCGGTGTGGTCCTGGTCTGGTCCTGGTTGAGTTCTCGGTCTGGTCCTGGTCTGGTCCTGGTTGAGTTCTCGGTCTGGTCCTGGTCTGGTCCTGGTTGAGTTCTCGGTCTGGTCCTGGTCTGGTCCTGGTTGAGTTCTCGGTCTGGTCCTGGTCTGGTCCTGGTTGAGTTCTCGGTCTGGTCCTGGCCTGGTCCTGGTTGAGTTCTCGGTCTGGTCCTGGTCTGGTCCTGGTTGAGTTCTCGGTCTGGTCCTGGTGTGGTCCTGGTTGAGTTCTTGGATTCGTGGAGTCTCAGGTGAGCCTCCTCCTCCTCCTCGGTGGCGTCGCCTCGGAGACCGTCTCCGTCTCCGTCTCCGTCTCCGTGGGCGACGCTTCCCACGCTCCATCACTCTGCTCCTGTTTACCTCCGAGGACCGATGTAGACCAAGACCAGGACCAGACCAAGACCAGGACCAGACCAAGACCAGGACCAGACCAGGACTGGGACTAGACCAGGTTCAGTTTAGAGCTAGACCAGGACTAGACCAGAACCAGACCAGGACTAGACCAGGACCAGATCAGGACCAGACCAGGACTAGACCAGAACCAGACCAGGACCAGACCAGACCAGGACTAGACCAGAACCAGACCAGGACCAGACCAGGACCAGACCAGAACCAGACCAGGACCAGACCGGGACCAGACCAGGACTAGACCAGAACCAGACCAGGACCAGACCAGGACTAGACCAGGACCAGACCAGGACCAGACCAGGACCAGACCAGGACTAGACCAGAACCAGACCAGGACCAGACCAGGACCAGACCAGAACCAGACCAGGACCAGACCAGAATTAGTCCTGGTCAAGTCCTGCTTTAGACCTGGTTCAGTCTCGGTTCATTCTGGGTTTAGTCCTTGTTTAGTTCTGATTCTGTCCTGATCTAGTCTTCTTTGAGTCCTGGTTTAGTTCTGGTCTAGTCCTGGTCTGGTCCTGATCTAGTCTTGGTTTAATCTTGGTTCAGTTCTGGTCCTGGTCCAGTCCCGGTCTTGGTCTTGGTCCTGGTTTGATCCTGGTCTGGTCTTGATCCCAGTCTTGGTCCCAGTCTGGTCCCGATCTGGTCCTGGTTTTGGTTTTGGTCTGGTCCTGGTCCTGGTCTTGTCCTGGTCTCTGGTCTTGTTCCCGGTCTCGGCCATGGTCCTGGTCTTGGTCTGGTCTCGGTCTCCTTCTCTGGTCTGGTCCTGGTCCTGGTCCTGGTCCTGGTCTCTGGTCTCTGGTCTTGGTCTTGGTCCAGGTCTCGGTCTCTGGTCTTGGTCCAGGTCCAGGTCTCGGTCTCGGTCTCTGGTCTTGGTCTTAGGTCCAGGTCTCGGTCTCTGGTCCAGGTCCAGGTCCAGGTCTCGGTCTCTGGTCCAGGTCCAGGTCCGGGTCTGGTCCATCCGTCTCTGTCTCCGTGTTGTGATTGGTCGTCTCGTTGATGATGTCGTTATGAAAAGATGATCTCGTGATGATGTCGTCCTGATGGGGATGATGTCGTTAGTATTGATTGGCGTTTCCCGCGGCGACGGCTGACTCAGCGGAGCGTCTGATTGGCCGAGTGTTCCTGTAAGTGTGAGCGCCGCCGCGTGATTGGACGAGGAGGAAGAGCGGCAGAGTGGTTAACCTGACCTTCTGACCTCCTCCTCTCCTCCTCTCCTCCTCCTCCTCCTCCTCTCTCCTCCTCCTCCTCCTCCTCTTCCTCCTCCTCTTCTCCTCCTCCTCTTCCTCTTCCTCCTCCTCCTCCTCTTCTCTCCTCCTCTCCTCCTCCTCTCTCCTCCTCTTCTCCTCCTCCTCCTCTCTCCTCTCCTCTCTCTTCTCTTCTCCTCCTTCTCTCCTCTCCTCTCTTCTCCTCCTCTTCTTCCTCCTCCTCTTCCTCCTTTTCCTCTTCTCCTCCTCCTCTTCCTCCTCCTCCTCTTCTCCTCCTCTCTCTCCTCCTCCTCCTCCTCCTCCTCCTCCTCCTCTCCTCCTCCTCTCTTCTCCTCCTCTCCTCTCCTCCTCCTCCTCCTCCTCTTCTTCCTCCTCCTCTTCCTTTCCTGCTCTCCTCTTCTTCTCCGTCTCTTACATAACTCTTATATAAAGTTGTTGGTGTTGTAGTTGGGTGGTGGGCGGGGTTAGGTGGTGGAGGTCGTCGGGGTCGTGTTGTTGACTCATCGTCTGGTTGTCGGTTCGATTCCCCAGAGAAACTCGTCTCATTTCAATAAAACTTTTCACATCTTTTTTTTCTTCCGGCGAAACTCAAGAGAAACAGGAAAACTCGAGTCACTCACCATAAAAGGACAGACCACGCCCCCTCACGCCTCCACCTCACCGTAAAAGGACAGACCACGCCCCCTCACGCCTCCACCTCACCGTAAAAGGACAGACCACGCCCCCTCACGCCTCCACCTCACCGTTAAAGGACAGACCACGCCCCCTCACGCCTCCACCTTACCATAAAAGGACAGACCACGCCCCCTCGCACCTTTTAATTTGGGGTTCGGCCAATCGGCTTTGTGTCGTGCGCAGACTCAGGTCACACACTCAGGTCACACACTCGGGTCACACACTCGGGTCACACACTCAGGTCACACACTCAGGTCACAGGGTGAGACTCTTCTGTGTTTTGGTGGTGGGAGGGGCTGATGGAGCAGATCGACAGCCTCTGTTCGGTCAGTTTGCCCCAGGGCAGCTGTGGCTGCAGGATCACAGGGTTTAGTAGGGAGCATTTCAAAGAATCAGTTTGGCTTTTCTGTAGAACATGAACGTTTCCTGCTCTACCTGGTCCTTCTTCAGGAGGTGTAGACTGATGTTCTTCTGTTCTTCAGGAGGTGTAGACTGATGTTCTTCTGTTCTTCAGGAGGTGTAGACTGATGTTCTTCTGTTCTTCAGGAGGTGTAGACTGATGTTCTTCTGTTCTTCAGGAGGTGTCCGGACGGCTTCGTGTGCCTGAAGGCCGGGAGGAACCCAAACTACGGCTACACGAGTTTCGACACCTTTGGGTGGGCCTTCCTCTCCCTGTTCAGACTCATGACACAAGACTACTGGGAAAACCTCTACCATCAAGTGAGTAACTACTACTGCAAATACTACTACTACTACTACTACTACTACTACTACTACTACTACTACTACTACTACTGCAAATACTCCTCCTCCTCCTCGACCTGGAGATGTGGCACTGACCTGTTTGACCCAGAGACTCTGGAGGATCAGCTCCTCTAAATCCGAGGTCGTGGTTCTTGACCGTTGTGGTGAAGAGGAGTTGAGTCTGGGTTTGGTTCGGGCGTCTTCCTCAGAGACAGAGTGAGGAGCTCGGAGTAGAGCCGCTGCTCGTCCACGTGGAGAGGAGCGTCTGAGGGGAGGACGTCTGTTCTGATGTCTCCTGGACGTGTCCCTCAGGAGGTGTTCATGTTCCACCGGGAGGAGGAGAAGACCCAGGACACACTGGAGGGACGATGTCTCTGGACTGGACTGGGAACACCTCAGGTCCCTCCCACAAACCAACCCTGGAGAAGAAGAAGATCATACAGGATGGAAGAGAACTTTAACCCTGGAGCTCCTGAACTTTTGTATTTGTTTGTTTAAGGGACAGAGACGATCAAACGTGTAAATGTTCTTCTCCTGTGTCACCCTCACTGAAGGAGCTCCAGACACTCAGGTTTCAGACCTGGTTTAGACCTGGTTTAGTTCCATTTCAG